TTATACCCTTCCCCCACTCTTGCAATATTCTAAACAATGTTTCCAAACGCTCTAAAAGAGACAGAAAGTCATGATTCCAGCTCCCTGCCTCCGCTGCTCTGTGCCACCTGCAAACGGTCTTGGCCACGCCCACTTCTCCGCTCTGCACGGAGATCAGCTGATCAGCTGCAGGAGGAAGTTTATCCTGCAGTATGGGCTGCACAGAGGTGCTGCAGGCGCTAATTAATTTAAAACAATTTATTTTAAATAAAAATTCCATGCCGATCGTGCGGCTCATCCGTCAGTAAGTGTGGTCATGTCCAATCTTATTTTGAAAAGCCGCAATAGAGCGAGTCCGCGAAAAACGAACCGCGAAGTAGCGAGGGATTACCGGTGCTTTACACTACTTTGACAGTTAACATGGCTAATTGTTCGGCTCAGTTTGGCTAAGTGTGTTAGTTTTTTTGAGTTGTTAAACTTTATTTACAAAAAGGAAAAAATCCATAGAAACGCACACATTGAGATTACTGTAGGTCTTTCAGAACCATTGTTCCCTAGAACCTCCTTCAGCTGTTTTGCCTTCACGTGCTACTTTAGCTTCAGTTTTGCCATATTTAGCATTTAGCTAAGGTTGTGCTCCTTGTAGATATAGTAACAGTTTTGCTAAATCATTTTGACTTAGTTTAGCTTTTAGTTGTTTTTGCTGAATGGGAGTGGTGGCACAGAGGTTAGAGAAGGTGGGCCTGTGTTCAGAGGGTTTCCGGTTCAACTCCCTGGACCGACAACATCAAAAAATGTGTGTGGGAAAGGTGAAACACCCACACCTTCCTTCACCCTCATTTCCCTCACTCTGGGCCCTTGAGCAAGACCCTTAACTCCCACCATCTGCTCCCCCTGATGCCCCAGGTGGCAGCGCTCTGCTCCACACAGAGGCCGTGGTAGCTCGGTGGTTGTGTCAGGAAGAACATCCAGTGTAAAAACAATCACCAAGTCTTTGTGCGATTTAGTTTGGGGAGCTGCCAAAAGAAAAAAAAATCAGTTTTTGCAGAGTTTAGCTTTTGTTCTGCTTGTTTTAGTCTTTAACGGATCTTTCTTCAGCTAATTTAAGCAATCATTCAGCACTCAGCGTTTTTCTTTTCGTTTATTTACATTTTATTCTCAGGTTTTAAGTCCCTGAGGTTCTTTCCAGATTAAAGTCGGTGCAGATTTTCCGGTCTCGGCTGTTAGTCCCATGTTTTGCCGGGACGTTATTTTATTCTCATCT